CACCGCCCACGTCCTCCATTATGCAGAGTGGAATGCTTTGTCGGAGCTAATGCATTGCCTCATTCATTATTAATTATGATCCAAAGTGTGGGTCTTGCTTCCATTACACCTGCAAGGATAAGAGCGTGTCGAAGTTTGAATAGGGTGTATCGTGTCGGTGTCTTGAATGAAATATGTTCTTTTTTTGCCGGATGCAGTACGGTGCACCCGTGACAAAGGAACATAATTACTGGTCTAAACCTCAAAGTTCCAAGGTGACAGTCGTGGTATGATATATTGAAAGTTTGCGATTTTTTGTCATTTTGTAATCGGCTGTCGTCCCAGAACCCCAAATTGCCATTGTCTGAGTATACACGACTGTTCTGCTCTTGAAGCGCAGGGGCGTTGGCCTCCTGTCTGCAAACCCTGCCATGACACGCGCGCCGATGGGGTTGGAGGCCCAGTTTAACCCTCGCCGGCACAGGCCATTTTGAGTCCTTCGACGGCCCAAGGGTACGACCCCCCTCGCGTTTGGCCCCTGATCGAGCTAGAGCCGCGCGGAAAAAAACGAGCGTGTTGCCCGTCACGAGACGAAGCCGATGATACCCAATTTTAAGGTCCTAGGTCATCGGGTGACCTTCCAGGTCAGGTCAATGACCCGAAAACCGGGAAAATCGGGACCTGTTAGAAAGTCGTAAAGTGTGGTTGCTATGTGGTTTTCCGGGGTGCTGATCACGAATATCGTGTTAGTTTTGATCAGAGATGATGTCTTTAAGCATTTAGACCAGGTCGGGTCAGGTCAGGTCAGGTCAACCGGTAGGGGTTGTGACGGGTATTCGTAATACGTGTCAACCGCCTCTGACAGCTTCGTAATATGTTACGAAGGCACCAAAACTACTTCGTAAATCTTCAAATGGTTGCTAAATTCGAATTCAGCTCCAAAAACTAGCCTAGAAACATGTAAAACTCAAAAAAGTGAACCGAGGTCACCCGAGGTCACCAAAGGTCAATGACCTGACCTGACCTTCAGGTGACCTTGACACCCACCCTAATGTATGGGAGCAACATCAAATCACATGTTTGAACGTTTGAAACCACGAAAAGCTTGCAAACGCGCTGCTAATGCGAGCCGACATACGCCGAATCGCGATTCCGGCCAAACATGGTCTCGGAAAAGAGGTCACAGGTCAAAGGTCATTTGGGTCAGGGTCATGAAATTTTCAGGGTAGGTGTAAAATTGATCAATGTGAGGGTACTGAAAGTTTCGTTGCGATCGGCCGCTTTTTACGCGAGTTATTCGCGAAAAACCTTAGGGGGTCGCATCAACCCCCCCCCCCCCCTGTGCCGGCGAGGGTTAATACTTAATACCGTCCCGCCGGCGCAGTTCCACTGACACTGGCAACCGTCGTCGTCCATCACTAAACCTGTGGCGTCAGCGGGCCGCCAACCACCGCCGTGATAGCGGCCTGCTAACCAGCACGGTAACCAATGACTGCGGGCCGCTAACCAGAACCCTGACCGATGACAGTGGCCGTTGGCAGCACCGCTAACTGCTGCTCACGGCCGACATTTATCAGCGTCCACCGCGGCCTTTTTGTGGGCGCTCTGTGAGTCGGTGGTGGTATCGGACAGATCCCAGCCGCCCGTGACGCCGCGGACGAAATGGCACGGGTGGCACACGGTATTGAGTGCATTGGGGTCGCCTGGATCGATATAACGGTACGATTGAAGAGTAGTAAAGTACTTGGGGGGGGGGGGATTCTTGTGGCCCTTCGTTTTTTTTTTGCATCCGCATCTGATAAACATCTTTCATGAACGCATTTGCATAGTTACTTGGACCGATGATAAGTGATTTTTTTTTTGCTAGTTCGACAGATCTATATTTAGCTGCTTTTTCAATGTGATCTCGTGGCCTAAGCAGCTTGTGATTGCTTTTTGCGAGTAACAGTGACATGTTTGCTCATTCCTCAGCTGCCGGTAAGCCAGGTTCTTTTTTTCTGCCGAACCAGGGGAAGATATTGGAAAGGAACGCATTAATGCACTGACAGAAATAGATCAGCTAGAACGGATCAGTCCCTGTCACAATACCCTATCCTTTGGCATTTGGTTAATACCCGCACCGCCTAGAAGCTCAGTGTCTCCAGCATGTCAATATTTTATGCATGGCTTCTAACCTTTCCGATCTTGTGGAGTTGCCAGTCCTGAAGTAATGGAAGTGACCGGGCAGTTGCGCGGGAAATACGACGTTTTTTTTTTCCTTCTAGAAAGCTTTGCGTTGCTGAAGTTGTGTGATGCTTAAGATGATGATCTGTACCTACATTTAAGAATCGGGAAAAGTCTAGAGCTTAATAACACGCGTCAGTCTCAGCGTAATATTTATGTTGTCTTTACTAGTTACTACCTCTCAACTGTGGCCGCCGCGTCGTGAGTTGTGCCCTTCCTCCAATTTTTCGTGTCTCTGTGTACCGGATGCTACAAGGGAAGTCAGGGGGATGGAATGATTATCAGGATATCAAGGGAAGGAGGATATCATAGGGAAGGATTTGAGGAACGCGATGAACGAGGAATTGCCCACCATACCGTTAACCCCTCTCCACATAATCGCCCCCAGTCTGGTCAGTGCGCCGGGGGTAACCGCGGCCGCCGTTAGCCCGGGTAATTAGGTGTCGGGCCCGGCGGCCGCTGATGTAATTGCACGCTCGCCGAGCAGCGCTCTCCCTGATTGGAGCTGCGGCTGGCCATGGGGCCAATCAATGAGACAGAACGCTGGGATTACCGGGATGAAAGGGTCGTCGGCTCTCCAGGCACTGATGGACGGCGGCTGTAAGAAGGGAGATACCAATAGGAGGTACTTTGGGGAGATATCGTACCGGAGAAGTTGTTAGGAAGGGGAAGATACCGATGGGATGTAGTTAGGAGGAGGAAGATACCAAAGTGAGGTGGCTGTGTGGGGGAGATACCGATGCAAGGTGGTCTTGTGGTGAGAGGTAAGTTGAGGCACGGTGGTAAGTTGTTTTGTAGAGAGAGATGGCGATAGGAGACGGTTCTGTGGAGGAAGCTGCCAATGGAGGACGGTTCTGTGGAGGGAGATACCGTTGAGAGGTGGTTGTGTGTGTGTGGGTGGGTCGGGGGGGGGGAGAGATACGTGTAGTACATACCGCTTGAAATCGAAAGAGGGAGGGCGATGATGGTGGAGGGTGGGGTAGAAGTGTGGATTGAGATACTGGTGTAAGACTAGAAACACCGCCACCTCTCGCCCGGCCGGGCCTGGATTCTGAGAAGGGCTGTAATTGGTGACAGCGGGCTGCCATGAGGATGTCCCATCTCAGTCACTTACAGACACTGTCTGTCTGCTGTCTGCTGCCACAGACCGTGGCAGAGCTGACAGATACTAGACGTAGGAGGTCGCTCGGGTGTCGCTCACTGTGACATTTGACACGCGAACGAATGGGGTAATTGAATGTCCATGTCAGTACATCAGACCAAGATGGCTATTCGAGTCATCTTTGTTTCAATCTCTGCAAGTCCCCTATCCTTCACTTAAAACTTAAAACCATGATTTTAAATATTTTTAGTAGGTAGCTCGACAGCATATATGTATATAAGCCGGTTTTGAAAGATGATTTTGAAGTGTCCATTCCACCTTTGCATGTTCTCGCTACTCTCGACACAGATTTGGGCCATTATTCCAACATCCAAAACCGATCCACCAGGATCACAGCGTGGCTCAGGTAGGCGGTGAGGCGGTGAACGCTGAGCTGTTTGGAAAGGCAAATCACCGGTCTATGCAAACTACAGATTGCTGTAACTGATTGTTGATGCTGCACACTACGGGTATGCATTGGCTGTGCCGGGGTGTTTGCCGCATTGTAAGCAGGCCTGGGCTGGAAAAGCTTTACGGAAATCCTCCTCTTGCGCCTCCGTTGAGGCTTACGATGCCGTCTCCTGTGATGCAACCTGTAACGGACTCAAGTGCTATTCGATCCGCCTGTGATGGATATACTTATTTACAGCGATCGAGCCGAGTACCTATTCATACAGGACGTCTGGTTCAATATCAGATAGGCCACGACTCATTCCGAGGCTCCTTGTCGCACTCCGTGTGAAATAAGATCTCCAGGCGGTAGTGCCAAATGGACCTGGTAGTCTACTGGTTACCTGACACCACCGCTACGGCGGCGATCCCATAACGATCGTTTGTTCTCATGTCAGCGGAGCTTTCCGACCAGCGTTTGCTCTCCATTTGATCTGTCGCTCCGCCCAGACGTTCGGTGCTCGGGACATGTTCTCTAATTTCATCGGTATTGATTTGTGGCCTGGTGGCTTGGGCCCGGGAGAACGGACGCACTCGGCAGGGCTCCCGGCGGCTCGCAGCGGTCGGTGGTCACGGGACAAAAGACAGTTTCCGAATGGCCGAGTCTAGGGACTATTTCGAACTGGTCAGTCTGTTCTTCACTGGATCGAAGGCTAGGACTGTGTGAGTGTGTGACCAATCTTGACTGATAAATGCGCTGTGGATGTTCCCATATCCCATTTGCTGTCAGTCGCGTTGGATTGCTATTGCTAAAAAGCTATTATTATTCACTGTACGTACAGTCTTCAGTGTTCATGTAAATGGCGTTGTTGTTGGCACTGTTCATGTCTCGTCTGGTTTATGATGACGGAATTCAATTTGCAGGTGTTGTCCGTGTCATTTCCAGTGCTATGTTCCTGTATTGACGAACTGGACCCCGATGACCTGAACAGCAGGGTGCACTAAAACCCAAATCATTATCATCACTCGTCTGTTGCACTGCTAGCCAGGGTCACATGAACTCTATTGAACAACGCTCTGACTGCAGTGAGCCTCTGTTGATCAATTACGTGTTCCTAACAACACGAACCTATTGCATGGTGACAGTAGACTGACTAGCTAAGCGATGAGTATTACCTGCCTTCCTTTTGCGCAAAGATTCACTCTGACCGTACTGTCCTTTTGCGTGAAGGGTTTCTGGCCTGACCTCACCGTTTCTGTGTTACAGGAGCGGCAGATTCGCGTGTGAGCCGTCCGGCGGTCTCACCTCTCTCACCAAGGAGCCGTACGGACCGGGATTCGGCGTGCGATCCGACCTTTGAGGGCCGCCCGCCTCGCCGCCAGTCGCAGTGTCCGCAGAATGTGTGTAAATATTAGTCGCTGAGACGCGAAAATACATAATGGAACGGTGGCTTGTGTGTGTGCCTGTGTGTGAAAGACGTGGCTGTTGCTCTAAGAACAGTGAAGGTAATAGGCTACAGTGTAAGTTCAGACCTCTGTTCACGGCAACTGACTACCTAAATGCTGACTTCTGCCGGTAACACACCGATGGAAAAGTAAATACTGAATCAGAGGGACGCCGACATTTGGTGAGTTTGGAATGTATGTTGCATTGCCATTAGATCATTATGAGCAATGTTGACGTTCGTATTTATTCGGTCTTTGTGACACTATTTCTTTTTTTCTTAACTTCGTGAACCGTACTTACATTTTTACTTACCTACATTGTTTAAGCAACAGACAGGAAACATTTCTGAAGCTAATGTGAAATATTGTTTGGAAACTTTGACATTATCTGCCACAAGTGACGTGTCAGACGTGTCCACCAATCTCAGTGTTCCTAAATAATGACCCCAGCCGCCCATATTGCACCGCACGAACTCCAGAGAGATTTATTAACACTGACCCCAACTAGCGAGTGGTCGTGCTTCGCTGTGAGAGCAGAAGTGAAGTGTGGAGTCGTCAGGGATAGTAAGGTCATGTGACACCTACAACAGCCTGAGGCGCTGCTTGACGTTTTTTTTCGCGCAGCGCTCGCTCCTCAGCTGCTAGAAATAACGAAGCACCCTGCTAGAAGGCATAGACTTTTCATCGTTTGTAGAGGCGGGACTATCACTTTTTGTCTAGGCGACTAAAAATCTTAAATTATTTTTTTTTTCATGGATATAGGTGAGCTTGTATGTTTACGGCCACAGCCCGCCGCGCCACCTCGTCTGATGACCGTTTGGCTGAAGACGGCCGGTGATTGGTTGGAGTATAGACTGCCGGCGGCGGCGGGTCACGTGACATGACCTGGCGTGGGCCGCGCTGGGGCCACGCCGGGTGGGTGAGTGATACACTCGTGATGCGTGGTGTGGCTGCGCCGTGTGCGCCGTGTGCGGAACATTAGTGTCAATCTATATTACTATTTGAGGAGGGCGTAGTTTCTGTCTATTACGAAGGTCGCGACATGGTGCTACGTAGCGCGGGTTACAGATCACACCGTTGCACCTACCGCGCTGAAATTTGCGCAAGTTATAGAACAAGGATGGACAACGTGCCTTTGAGCGGTCTCGGCTCGATCGGATCGATAGCGAGCGCGTGGCGCGTGCCCAAAAAGTGCAAATTCGCGTCATAGACTTTACATGTATAAATCGGCTGGCAAAAACGGGCGAAAATGGCTAAATTTGCCCGACACGGGTCCGTTCCCCGTGCAATATCTCGGTAGCCGTGCGCCCGATCGGCACGGGGAAAACAGCATCGTGTAGAGAATCGAACGGGCAATCGAATAGTGTGCGGTGCAGGGGTGGCACGCGCCACGTGCAAGTGTGAGGGCAATTTCATTTCAAAAAGTGCCATTTTAAACGGATTTTGGAATTTATATTAATTTCAGGTGATCGTCAGACGGAATGAGTTGAAACAGCGCCTATTAGCAATAAAAATGTACCGTCTCTCATGGAAAAATTGTGAAAAGCTAATTGATCAAAAACAATGTGGAAAAAATCGCTAAATTAAAATGGTATTTGTCCATAATGTGCCACTAAAAAGATACACGGGATTTGCTGCTTAACCTGATACGCTTGACAATTGAAAATGCTATCATTAGAAAGAGCATTCAATTCTCTCCAAGATCCAATCATCACGTTTGCATGACAAGCAACAGTATTCTTTAAAATATAAATGTTTTAAACCTCTGCAAAACGATTTTTAGCGAAAATTATCTACGCCTTTCATTTGTCTTAAAACTACGCACCTCAATTATAAAGCACATTTGACAGATTCTGAAGTGGAAAGCATGCTTATCAGACACGGGCACCTCGATGCGGTGGATATTTTTTCCACAAACCAAAACGTTTAGCCGTCAAAAAGCAATCGACCGAAATGGATAGATAACCCAACCGACACAAGAACAACCGAACACCCGCCGATCGAAAATATCCCTTTTCGCGTTGCGGAGCACGCGGGTCACCCTAGTATTCATCCATTTTGTCCATTCGGACAAAATTTCTTCTTTTTTTAAATCGTTTATTTCCCATTTTGCTGTTACACAAGGGCTGCGAGGAATATCCACATTAGGGTCTACAGTGTTATATCTGTGAGCCTCTGCCGCCGTTTCATAGACTGTTGGCTATTCTGCCTCATGCCGCGTGACTTCTGGACAGCTATTACGTACCCAACGTCCCCTAACGTCCAAAACGGCGCTGACCTCTGGAAGGTCTGCCCGTAAATCCCATCTCATCCGGGGCATAGCTCCGTCTGTACCGACCGCCCAACCCTATGGACGGTCTCTAAATTAGCTCCCGTGGGCGAGACAGCAAACTTCAGAGCGCCGCAGCTCAACTTCCGGCTCGAGGGGAGAAGTTTGTGGACGCTGCGCCGCACGACGGATGTGTAGTGCGGTGCAGTATAACTGCCCAGAAACCGGAGCGGGTGGCGGGTGCCGGCTTCACAGCGGCTGGGATGCAGCCACGTAAGTACTGATCAGATGCTTTCGACAATAATGTGGCGCCATGCCATAGCTGTGACCATTCAATTGCACAGGATTGGAACATTTTCTGCGTAAGACTTATCTTGTTTTTTTTTTTGCGGAGCTAACAATGAACAGGTTTAGGTATAAGTTATGGTTGATTAGTCTAGGCTGATTTGTCTTAGTGTTGCAGCTTCCTTTTTGAGTAAGGCGTGGCAATTCTAAATGCATCTCAATATTTCTGTCCGCTTTCTCAGTTGCTTTGGTTTCAATATATGCAAAATGCTCCTCTTCATCCCTCTTAGTCCAGTCCTTTATTTCTTAGTCCAGATGGGCTGCTTCTGGCGAGTGTCTAACACTACACTGCTCTGCTTTCCTCATCTAAAACTGAGATCGGAGGATAAACTGCAAATCCTAACTTTCTGGAGATGGTGCATTGGTGGTGAAACGTATTATGCAATATGCATTCTCCTACTGCATAACCAGCGCCAGTTCATGTAAAAATCACTCGTAATATTTTACTTCATTCCCTGGAAATATGGGCCCATTCTTTCGTTTTGAATGCACGTCTTGTTATTAGTCAAAATCTTTGACTCGGGAAGGCCAAAGCAAATTGCACCATTCACCTCAGCACCTTTAATCTTGAGCGAAAATGCATGCTTCTAAGGCAGAGATTATTTGATTGCGACTCATGCTGTGACATTCAGCGGTGTTCCAGGAAAATGCTGTGTCGTCTGCACATCTATTTAGGCACTGTCGCTATGCCGGGGAAGAGCGTGTAAATACTAAGAAGGAAGGAAGAGGCCAGCAGGCTCATCGCTCTGACTTACAGCCGACTTTTTATAGAAACCGCATTCCATAGCGCACCTGCAATGGAATAGACTGAGCCCAGTGCCCAATCTTAACAATGCCGTGAATGATATGTCGTGAATGGCTATTCACGGCATTCGTGAGACACCGTTGCCGTGAATAGGCTCCAGTCACGGCATATCGCCTATTCACGGCATTGGTAAGATTGGGCCCAGATCAATGCGTACTGCGTACTCTACTGTTCTGTTGACGTGGACTGTCTAAAAGTGTCTTACGCGGGACAAATTTACGGGCTAGCTGCTAACTAGTCCCATCCACCTCAGCCCCTGTGTGCCTTCAATGCTGCCCTGAGCTGCCTAGCACGTCCACTCACTGATGGTCGGTGCTTGGGCTATTCGTTCGACCGACTACCCCAGGCGGTGGTTTACGTTTCCCAAGCCACCACTGTAGCCCCGCGGCGATCCATTCGATCCCCAGCCGATAGAATAAACCTACCTGAAATGGGCCCCGTCCGCTCGCCCTCCGTTCAATTCACATTGGTGGCGACAACGTTTTTAGAGCGGGGCTATCCGGCGGGCATGGAGGAATGTTTACTTTATCGCTGTGGAGCTTCCATAATGGTTGGGTTGATTTAATAATGTATGCTCTGAACCGGCACCGAAGACGCTTGGGCTGGAAAGAAAACATGTCGAGATTTGTGCCCTGGGTCGGAGCGAGTGAGAATTGCATACGATATCAGTCTCTTCGTGAACGGAAAGAGAACTATCCAGACTCTCTGTTGTATATGTGCTCGTATGTACGCAGTGATTTTGAATTGAAATCTTGACAGCCGATAAGTTTCGAATTTGGTTCTCAGAAAGACGACTTGTTATTGTGCTAGTCATAAACTAATTACTAACTTTTCATCGATTACTTTTTGCCTGACTCCTAACTTAATCCGTCTAATCACCAGCTGATTTTGATGACCCTGTTACAGTTTTCGTTATCGTGGGCACGAGAGTTCACATGACACCTCGTACCCCTTCAGTGGTGTACGAACTGAGCAATATGATTTTGAGATGGCTTCATTCGCCCAACTGTATTACTTCCCAGTCACGTCGGGTACAAAATGGGTAGCGACCCATGCCTGTCACATTGCCATGAGAGAACAAATGTGCCAGAACATAGTTCATGCATATTGAACATGCAGGAGGTCTCAAGCCGTTCTGGACCCTAAGTGGCAATCACTGAGTCATGGCGTCTCTGAGCCAGAGCCATTGGACGTCACAGGGGTCTAATGTATGAACCACAATCTGACGTCCAGACAGACCGCCTCATTACACACTTCTTAGCAGACTTATTCCCTTGCAAGCTGGTGGAATTTCATAGTTGGAAAAAGTTGGCAATAGGTAAGTCTATGCAAATCTATATTTTCAAAAAAGTGTTGGGCAATCAAGTAAAGCCGTAATTTGAAAACAGCTTTACTTTCTTTCACTTGCACATCGCTCAGATTGCATTAATAAAAGTAATAAGAATGCAAACGAGATGCTTAGTGGCCACTGGCCATCTCTGCAGAGAAATGCGGCAGATTCTGCGAAGCGGGACCGGCACGGCAGGGTATTTTGTGGCCGCGATTTTCCCGGGTTTGCAGAGCACGACCATCCGGATTCCACTAA